CTTCTCACACTCTCCCCACAGAAGACAGCAGAATACTAGCTTTGAAAAACAGCAGGAATTACCTCAGCAAAGGGAGGATGGATGGTTCTTGCAAAAACCACACATTCAAAGGCATGGATGCAAGAAAAAGTTTATGATGAATTCCAAATCCAATAAAAGTTCCGTGGGACAGCTGAGGCAGAGAGGCAAGAAGAGGTGAAATTCATTCATATGCCATGCTAAAGAACTTTACCATGACAGTAGCAGAGAGCCAACAAAGAGCTTTAAAAAGAGAGCAACATGTTATGATTTGCATTTTAGGAAAACCATTTCAGTAGCTGCTGTGAATGGATGGGAAAGGGAGGCAGTGAACAAGACAGAAATCAGCTGAGAGATGAAACAGGCTCAATCTAAATTAGCAGCAGTGGGAATCGAGAGATGAAGGAGGATTCCAGAGGTGTAATCAAAAGGATTTATAACCACTGTTTGGATATTGCAGGTGACTCAAACTTTTCTGGCTTGATAACTGGGTGATTACATTAAATACAATATAAAATATAGGAGGAGGGTCAAGTTGGAGGAAAAACAATGGTAAATTTAGTTGGGAAAATTTTTTACTTTAAACAAAATATAAGTCATAGAATGAGATTTCCTGCCTAAGGTTAAGACTGCATTGTTGTGTTTTGTTTATGCTCTTTGGATGGCTTGAGATGGATAATCCTGTGAATAACTGGGTGGGAGGGGACAGAGGATGGCACTACCCTCCACCCAACACAGGGAAGCAAGGTATAGGGCCCTTTAGAGACAATCAAAGGGAAGCCTCCTCTTGGAGGGTCGATCGATAGCTCTATTGTCTAGGACAAAGGATATACAGAGCCTCATTGTATCTCTATGTCTAAACAAAATGGCCAGGGAAGGTGGTCAGGGCTTGGGGTATCAAAAGTGGCAGATGTTTCAGACTACTGGACTTTATGTTTTGGATGGTTTATGGTCTGAGAAACAGCAATGCATTGGACAAGGCTGAAGGACTGCTGTAAATAACCCTGTAAAGTACCAGGAATAGAGGAATTGTCCCTCACCATATTCAAGCATGTATCCTAGAATATTCCCAGGCCACCCACTGCTAGCTATTAGAGCTCTTCATCATGGTCACAGGTCAAAATGTCTCATACAGAAAGCCATACAACCCTCCTTTCCCTATTCCCTAGTGTAAAACCAAAACCATTTTTAGCTTACATGGAAGAATATCTCGGTATCTGTTTTTCTCTCTGTTGCTTGGTTCATTCCCAAAGTTGAACTCACCAGGCAGATTCTTAAGTTCTAGATCCTTTAAAAGGTAAAAAATATAAGTCAGAAGATGGCAGAATAGATGGTCCCCAGAGTCACTCTCTTCCACAAATCAACCAATTTACAACTATTAAAAAGCAACAACAGCCAAGCAGTGGCCACTAGAGGTCAGAGAAAGAGGAGGAGAGACCTACGGAGTGCATGAAGGTGGGAGAAGTCATGATGAGAGAAAGAAAGAACCGCTCAGACCATTTTGAATCCTGGCTGCTTCCAAGCTGGTGCTGGTGAGTGCATGGAGCAGGAGCTGGCAAAAACCACAGATGTGCCCTACAGATGAAGTTGCTTGGAGGTGGCAGGGGAGAATAGGGCCTTGGTGGCCTCCAGGTCAACAAGACCATTAACAGGGTTCCCATGGACCCACACAGGAGCAAGGAGCCACAACGACTGAAAAAAAGGAGTCACTCAGGTGCCAGTGTGTCATCACAAGGGACCAGAGCATTGACCGTCACATGGGAAGTGGTTGGAGTACAGGCGGTGGGGGAGACAGGCCCACTGGGAGAACAGTGGGGTACAGAATTGACAGCTGACCTGACCCCCAATCAGTGTAGGACCACTCAGAGGAGACTGGTCAGGAATACAGAATTGCATGGGGCGCAGACTGATGAAAAGACCAGAGTTTCTACACAACCCAGGTGCACCAGATTTCACTAGACCTGGATGTACCTATAAAGTCAACTATTAAAACCTGAGCTGCACAAAAAGCCTTCCCTAGGGAATCAGTAGCAAAGCAGCGATTTAGGTCAACCACAGAGCTCAAGTACTGACCCCCATAGGAAGTTCCGCCATTTTAGAAGTAAGCAAAGGACAACAAATTAGTTCCAGCACAGATTTTAAGTGGTGGGAACTGCAAATAATCCAACACAGAACTGAAAGTGAAAACAAAGTACCCACAACCAGAAACAAAGTCTGATATTAACTAGTGAAGGTCTCATTTCACCAAAGAATATCTGTAACACCTAGAAGGAACAGAAGTCCCCTGGGCTACCAAGCCAGAAAGGGGGGAGGGCTGGGGGCCTCAGCCATGGCTTCCAACACCCACAAACAGTCCTGAGGGTGCGGGCTGAGGGCCTTGGCCATACCCCCCTGACACATGCAACCACCTCAGCAACAACCACCGAGCCACTGCAGGAAGCACCCTGGGCTCTTCCAATCTGGGGTAGTGGGGGCCTTGGGCCTCAGTCATACCCCCCTGACACACACAACCAGCCTAGCAACAAACAACCACTAAGCTGTCACAGGAAGCACCCTGGGCTCTCCCAAGCCAGGAGGGTGGGGGACTGAGGGCCTCAGCCACATCCCCCCAATACCAGCAACCAGACCAGTGACAACCACTGAGCTGCCATAGGAAGCACCATGCTCTCCAGAGCCAGGGTGGTAGAGGGCCGAGGGCCTTGGCCATGCCCCCTGACATGTGCAACCAGCCTAGCGATGACCACTGAGCTGCTGCAGGAAGCTCCCCGGGCTCTCTGAAGCTGGGGTGGTGGGGAACCGAGGGCCTCAGCCACACCCCCCAACACACAGAACCAGCCCAGCGATGACCACTGAGCTGCAGCAAGAATGGCCCCAGGTTCTTGAGCTGGGGGGGTGGGGGGGGTGAGGGATTTTGCCACACGCCCCTGACATCTGCACCCAGCCCAGCAATGACCAAGCCACTACTGGAAGCCTCCTGGTTTCCCCTGTGGAATAAGGGGGGTGGGGGGGGCCACAGGCCTCAATTTTGCCCCTCTTCCTTCCTCCATCTTCCATCCCATTTCCTTCCCCTTAAAAGAAGAGTAATGAAGGGAGACTAGTCTTAATAGATGGTAAAATATAATATAAATCTACACTAATTAAAAGAGCTTGATACCAGTACATGAATAAGCAAATCAATGGAAAAAAATCCAAGAATAAATTAAAATATAGCAGGCCTTCAGTATACGATAAAAGTGGCATTTTGCATCACTGAAGAAAATTTTCAGGGGAGTCTTGGGACAACAGATAGCTACGAGTCCCTATCAAACATCTTATACCAAATTAAATTCTAGCTGAATCAGAGTCAAATGCTGAATAAAAATAAAAATAAATCATAAAAGTACTAGGGAAAAAGACATGAAATATATTATGATGCTAGAGTGAAAGAGACATTCCTAAAGAACAAAGAAAACCCAGAAGTTCTAAAAGAAAAGATTGTCATATTTGATCACTAAAAATTAGCTATTTCTTCATGGTAAATAGGTGTGTGTATGTATATGTGTGTGTGTGTGTGTGTGTGTGTGTACACTTGCACATGTGTAACACAACAGCAGAAATATTTACTATATATAAAACACACAAATGGATAATTCCTTCATTATATAAAGTTATTAATCAATAAGAAAAGGAATAAATAGAAAGTTAGGCAACTAGCAGTTCACTGAAAGTAAATATG